GAGATAAGTGCACCAAACAAAACATCAAAATATAAAAACGACACAATAGATATCGGATTAATAAATACGAATATTTCCTATAGGGTTTAATTATAAAAAATGATAATAGGAAAAAACGAATATCTATGTGGCGTAATTCTAGCATTTGTAGCGTGGATTGATATTTTATGAATTATTTAATTGAGTATAACAACTTTGTGTTCATTCCTTCTGGAAAATGAGTTTTTAGCTTATGAATCCAAAATGTTTCTTTGCACAAACGATCTAAAGTATTGTAAACAACATCTATGGGCATAAATGAAAAGTCGGTAAAATTATGATCGTCCTTATTAAAATGATTTGCAACATTAGTGGAGAATGCAGGATCTACAAAATTGCATATATCAAATTTATGGCTATTCATTCGTTTAGACACAGGTTGTTTGGTTTGACCAACATACTGCATGCTACATTTTTTACATGTTATCAAATATATACAATTCTTGGTTTGACAGTTAGTATGTTGACGTAAGTCAAATATCTCTCCTGTATTTGAACTGTAAAATGACGTACCACTATTAATACGAACACAATGAGAACAGCGTTTTCTACAACAACCTCCAGAATGTTGATGTAAAGTCACTGTCAGTATCAAATCTAGATCTAACTAAAAAGTCTTGTAAGTTTCTTGGACGTTTATAGGCAATTATGGGTGTGTAGTTATTGTGAATATTTTTAACACCTTCGTTTTTTGACAGATTTAGTAGGTCCCAATATTTATGAATAGTATTTCCAATATTAGGTAAGGACGGATTATATGTCACAATAAATGGAAGAACGTTTTTCTTTTCTTTATCTTGTGGCCGTAAGGCATCCTCTTGTGACATCTGTGACACGTGAAGAAACGCTGAATCTATAACCGTCTCAGGGAAATTTCTACTTATGAAGAATTCTCGTAGTTTGCTTAGTGAAGTAGAGAACACGTCGTCGTCGGATATAATTCTCCTGTAACGCTTAGCCTGACTGTGGGGTATTCCGTCTTTACACCGTTTTGGATGACAGGATGTATAATCAAGATATTGGTGGTTGTTAGTTTCCTTTACATAAACATTAGTTTGAAGTTCGTACGATTTTCCTTTTGATACTTGAACATCAAGAAACGAAACAGATTGTTGAGATATGGTGTGGGTGAATTTAATGCTTGGGTGAACATTGTTGATTTTGTCAATAAATGTGTTAAGTTCTTCAAGAGAATGATCCCAAAGCATAAAAATATCGTCTAGAAAACGAAGCCACAATGACGGTTTAAGCTGACTATCTTTCAAAAAATCCTCTTCGAATTTCCCCATAAAAAGTGCTGCGTACGCGGGGGCGACTGGGCTTCCCATAGCGGTACCCATTTTCTGAAGAAATAGTCATCCCCGAACTTGAAGTAGTTATTTTCAAGAATAAGTTTCAAAAGTTTAACAATTTCATCTGACGAAAGTCTGCTGTTATTATTTCCTTGTCTTAAATAATACAAACACGCATCAGTTCCATCCGTATGTGGTATATTAGTATAAAGTGAAGAGACATCTAGTGTTACCAAATATGTGTTTTTGCTTTGTAGTTTAATATTACGTAATTTGTTGATGAAATCTGTGGTGTCTTTTACATATGATGGCAATCTAAGCATATGTGGTTTAAGTATAAAGTCGAGATACTTTGAAATATTTTCTGTCGGTGAGTTACATCCTGACACAATAGGTCTACCCGGATACTTTAATGGCAGTGTGAAGTCTGGAGGTTTGTGTGTTTTAGGTAAGATATAAAAACACGGTGTACGTATGTTCGTTGGAAATACATCAAATTCATCTGAAATACAGTCGTTTGTTTCTTTAATCTTATCAATGCATTCCGATATGTTACATTTAATAATTTCTGTAGGATCTTTCGTACATTTTTCATAGTAGCTGTTGTTTTCGAGTTGACGTAAAACTTCCCGTCGGTAATCGTCAGTATTCATAATTATGATAGTGTTCGATTTGTCCGCTTTCTTTATAATTATACTTTTATCTTGTGACAGTTTACGTCACATATGAAAAATTTTTTTTTTTTTTTTTTTTTTTTTTTTTTTTTTTTTTTTTTTTTTTACATCATATATGTAATTCTATATATTTGTCTAGAAATGGTTGCTTAAATACCGGCGTCAAATGTTTTACAAAAGAATGACATTAAATATTCCTAACTCATATGTTCTGTTTTCATATATTCATCGTTAAGCAAACGGCAGCTTTCACATTGACATATATTTTTTACACCTACTAAAACAGGATTTTTATATAGTAACATTAATATGCATATGACAAAGTAACAAACATTATATTCATGAAAAAAGTCTTCCAGTTCTATTGTTACTAGGTACTGTATTAGTCCGGCGATAATGTCATTTTGCATACCGCCCATGTTTTTTCCTTTTTATTTACAAGTTAATTTGCCAAATTTGGCATGTGATATGCCTTTGACCATTTACAATTCTTATTAAAATGAGATGGTCAATACAACCTATAAAAAAAACATAAGAAAAGAAAACAAAAAACATATACATATACATCTATATCATATACAAAAATAAGATATGAATTGGTAAATATATTTATATTTTTACCATATGTAAAAAATGACAATATTAACAAAATTTTAAGGAGAAGCTATATTTGCAAGCAATTATTTTCTTATTTATGTTCTAAATCAAGCAACATTTCTAATAGATCTTGTAGTTTTACTAGACAAGTCAAATCTGTATGTAGAGATCTAGCACTTATTGAATTAATCTCCATAACAAAGGTTTTAAAAGAAAACTCTTGTGCCATATGAAACCTCAAAGGAACACCCATTTTTTTGTATCTGTACCTTTATTCTTCAATGTATCCATAAAATATTTATATACAGCCAATGACAAACAATATATGCGCAATGGACTATAGCAATTTATTTTTATTTTTTCCAAGAAGCCTTTTTAATTATTCAAACGTTACAGCATGTATTATGAATTTTTACTCAAGTATTCAAGTGCACCGAAGCTTGTGTATGCTTTAGTACATCAACATTCCATGTTGTTTGTGAACATTTTCAGCTTGTAATTCAATACATGTATAAAAAGGACTGAACATGACAATATAACATTGTTACGAAAACCAGAAAAAGTAAAAAGAATTGAACTATGTTGAAAACTCACGTATATTTGTCCATACACATTTATGACATTTAATACAGTCTTATCAAAATGATAATTATACTTTATAATTGTAAGATTTGACAAAATGCGTTTTAAAAAAAATAACAAGAACAGTGAAACTAACTTCAATAAAAATAATCTATAATTGCCTCCATTTAACTACAAAAACCGATGTTCCAGTAACAAATTAATAAAAATTGATGTACTCATAATTGTCATATCAATAATGTATTTGGTATATTTTCAACTAATGGTTAGCAGTAGTACATACATGTAGCGGACCAGTTTCACGTTAGAAACATAAAAAACTTCAGACTCCAGACGAGGCCAAATGGTCAATTATTCCATACAGCGACGGGTGAAAAATAGTGCAGGTTAAGTGATGAATCTCTTGCAACAAAAAAAAAAACAGAAAAGATTAACTGTATATGTAAATGGAAGCTTTATTAATGATACATTGATACTGATTATCTATCACATTTGAAAGATGTATGTCAAAATTCTAACAAAATATCGAATGGCACTTTTAGTCTTCATTTCTTGGAATGTAATTGATATTACGTATCGTCCATAGACACAGAATTTTAATAAGGTGCCTTGAACATTTTTCTATTATACATTGACCGTGCATTTTATGTACGTTGTCTAGCATGTTATTAAGTACATGTATTGCATGTAAGTACAAAGTATAGCGTTCGTATTTTGACAGATACAAGATAGATAATGGCCATGTGTTAAAACTATTTGTACTTAAATAGTCTCACTGGTTTCCATTTTCATTAATATTCTGACATCCCTGCTTTATCATCAAGTTACTGAAACGCTTGTTGTAGAAGCAGACGATCGATTGAAAATATCTCAGCTATTTCTCAAGAACATCATACATAATTATTTATGTCAAAACATGTTTGTTTTTGCCGGAGAAAACAAGATACAGTTCATAAAATGTATTTAGAACGTTGTTTTCGTGTTAAATAACACATGTATTGACTGCACCGTACTCCAGAGAATCAGGGTCGTGACCGTTGATTATTACTATTGTTATAAAAAGATCTATTTTAGGAGAATATTCAACTTTAATAAAAAGAGATAACCTTAATCGATGTTGATATAAAATTTTAAAGGACAAATGTGAAAAGACATTGTCCTATGAGATGAATTAGAAATCACAAATCGGTACAGACTGATTTCAAACAACATATAACTATACAGCAATACAATTTATATTTCAGCTTACGTCTGCCCACATTTTCAGTATATGACATCTAGACCAATTCTGGCCGATTTTTGTAGGAATGTTCCATGGTTCATCTTCCGAAATAGTTATACTACTTTTACTGAACCTTTAAAACAGTTTGGTAAATTTTAATGTTTTTTCAGAAGATGGTTTGGAAACCATTATCCTCCATACAAAACCGTCACTATATGTTTGCATAGTACAATAAACTTAAATAATCATAATCAAATCGCAGTGATAGTCAATAATCATTCGTAGATTGATATTGTTAAACATAGATTTAGGTTCACAAGAAGACAAAATTTCATAAGTTTGTTATATGTCTTATACTAAAAAGGTATTCATGTTTTGGTCACACATGTCGGCATGAAGTTAATTAACAAAGATATACAGCAATAGGAACGCTTCGTCGATTATTCATTATCATCACGGAAACAGAATTCTGCCACGCGACTTTAGATTTAAGCAAATATTAATAATGATTATTTTAACTTTTTATTTCAGTATGGCTGGGTAGTATTGAAATCAGTATATCATATTGGTGACTATTTTAACTTTATATTTCAGTATGGCTGGGCAGTATCGGAATCAGTATATCCATGATGCTTTCTCCAATAATAACAACAATATGCCGACGGAAAAGTCCGCGACTCTATGCCGTGATTGGAGGACTGGTGATCTCCCTTGGAATCCTGTTTATGTCTTTCTCTAAGTTATTAGAACAATTATTCATCAGTTACTGTTTGGTGCTATCCGTCGGTAAGTTGGGGTTATAACAATTCCGAAATGACTGTTTAATTACAATGTCATTATTTTTTTTTTCTTAGAGTCACAATTTGCCTCAGATTTTTTTCTTTCTGTAGAACATGTAAGATGCTTATCACCTGAAGCAAATAATGATGAATCGGAAATGTTTATGATAAAGATAGCAATTTTTATCAAAGTTTATTTTGAGTTAAATACTAAATACTTAATCATCATATGATGTACTTATCAAGCGAAAGATGTTTCAACTGGTTAGCCAATGAGTTACTTTTTGGAAACTGTGACAGGACACCATAAATAAAAGACAGACTTTTGAAAACTTAAGATAACAGTATTTAGCTTAACGGGCATTTAAAAAATAGCATGTGGCTGTGTGGTAAATTTCTTATCCCAAAGCACACGGCCATCATTTCTTTAGGTTTCAGATCCGTGATGTTGATGTCATTTTCTAGTGATTACGATTATTTATATGCATTGGTCAGATGCAAGAACTGTCATATTATCTTGATACCCTGCTTTGTCAACAAAAATTACCATTAGTTTTCCGGATGGAGTTGAGCATTTGTGGTCTGTGCTTTGAATAAGGCAAACTTTGTAAAACGTATTCCGATATCATCATTATATATAATTATAATGTTTTGGTTTATAAGTTTCTATAACGTTTTGTCCGTTTCAGCATTTAATGAAGATTATCTAATTTTACGTGGAAGTTAGGACTTGTGTTTCATTGTATGTTGCCTATATTTTTATTGACGATAGCAATATAGCAAGTCTGCTTTATATACAGGTTCTGGGATCACGATAAATACCGCTAACATCATGGTTGGCCGTTACTTCCGTTGCAGACGAGAGTTTGCGGAGATGATAATGTTGGCGGGAACTGGTGGCGGCGCTGCTCTTGTCGCTTATATCATAGATGAATTGATGAAGTATGATGCGTTTTTCATTTCTATTATCAAATTAAACTTTCATTGAAGTCTTTAGATTTTTATGTATTTCAAACTGATTATAAAGTAAGGAAAATGAAATAACCAAGTGACTATTGGCTAGATAGAGTCCATGCAATTCTGTCTGACATGGTCAAAAAGAAGAACTAAAAATGTAATAAAAGCTAAGCTGTTTTGTGTCGTTTTCCCAATGCTGTGCATGACTTATCTAAAAGAATCTTCTACACTGTTTTTCATTTAACTACAATTCAGGCCATTTTCATGAATGTTTCAGGAAACTTGAATGGAATCACGCAATGCAGTCAATCGCCGGGTTATCAGCTATTACTATGATTGCCGGTGCCATGTACAGGTCGGCGTCCCTTTATCATCCACGTAGAAATGTTATTCTTCATATCAAAAACCAAAAGAAGTGCCGTCGGGAAAGAGACCAGGTATAGATGCATTAATTATTGTAAATAAACGGGAAAACAAAAGAAAACGACAATAATTACTTACAATTTGTGTATGAGAATTTAAACTTAAATTAGATTTGGAATCGTAGTCTTGCACAATCAAAATAAAATAATAAATTGAAGCTAACTACTATAACTACTTCGCTGAGACGCCCATTACAATAAATAAATACCTTGTGGTCGTAATTAAAACTAAGCATAGTAATCGGGCAATAACTGGTATTATATTTGTCATCCTAATTCAGGGCTCTAAATTTTTTAAGGTCAGTTTATTTAGGTTGTGCATAATAGGAAAAAAATAGTATACATTGTTTGGGTACTAGCTTATTGCTAAAGAAATTTATCTTTTATTTTTCGGTTTGTACCATAGTAAATGTACATTAATTTAGTAGATGGAATTAATGCAAAGTACATGGACTTTATACCAAAATACATCTTGATTACCCGAGTATTTTGTTAGTGTCTAATGAAGCTGACAGAAAGTAAATTAAAGTACATGAAAACAATGTATGTTTATTATTGTTGTTTTGTATATCTGTTTATGAAAGCTGTATATGCCTGTACACAACACATCAAATACATGTCGTACCAAACCATTGCGTGATATATTTGGCTGAAGAAACAAAACAACAAAGCTGACAGTTCGTATTATTGAAGATGATTGTATACAAAATTCGAGCCGCGTCACGAAAAAAACAATACAGTGCGTTTGCGACCAGCATGGGTCAAAAAAAGCCTGCGCATCCGCGCAGTCTGATCAGGACACATGCTGTTCGCTTACCAACTCTATTACAAGTAGAGAAACTGATAGCGAACAGCATGGATCCTGATCAGACAGCGACGATGCGCAAGCTGGTCTGGATTCATGCTGGTCGCAAACCCATTATGTTGGTTTTTGTTGTGACGCGGCTCAGATGTAGTTCAAGTTTGTGATGTTTTTCTTTTTTAATGATTCGTCTGCTTTGCTTTTTTTCTTGGCGTTCATTTTTATGATGCTATATTTGTGCAGGAGAAACCGTCCTATTTTGACTTCGCAGCGCTAAAGATGCGGGCATTACAGGGTATAATGGTGATGGTGGCAATCATAGGATTGGGCATGCATACACCGTATATACTTATGGTAAGCTGAAGTTTATATAGAAGTTTATGAGTACCGTATGTTATAGTTCTATATAAGAATTATATACAAATTAAGTGCAAGGGGTAGATGTGGTTTAATGATTAAAGTATGAGCGTCTCGTCATAAAGATTTGGGAATCAATTTAATCAACCCATTCGGATTGTATTCATGTTTTCCTTCCTGTGTCACCAGCGCTTGACTGTTCCAGTAAGGGGTACTCTAAAATGATTTATATAGGTTGCAAGAATTTCACAATCAGGCATAGAAAAATACAGAATATGTTTAAACTAAGCCTACCCTAAAGTTATCAGTGTTAACTTTGCTCATACATGTTGGTTAAACCCAGTTTTCAGACGCTATTTAATACGAGAAAGTCAAACGTCAACTCTTGTTTTACTGATATCATTTTATAAAACAACCTTTTACACATTTCCTGGGCATGGTTATTATCATAAAAATGTCAACATATTAGTAAGTCATTAAATAAACGTATTATACTATCATTTTAGATACAGATATATTACTTATGTCACTGAATCTGTTCCTAAATGTTTGGTTTTGTCTTAAACGACAAGGAAAAAATACAGCATTTGTAGATTTAAATATGAACATATTAGCTAACTTTTCTTTGCTCTCTACTTCTGTCCTTCTTCTAATAAATCCATGTATAATCTACATGTGAAGTTGTCAGATGAGGGGTACAGTCAGTTAGAATACGAAATGCTCGAGACATATATTCCATGCTCATCAGTTATAAATGTTTTACCTTAAAAAAAATAATTAAATTGATATCACTCTGTACATATATAGTATTGATGTTCCATCGCTTTAGTACTGGTGTACTAATGGTCTGTCTCGCTTAACAAAATATCCAGTGAAAAGAATGGAAAATGACCTTTCGGTTATATATAGATCTATAAGTCTACTGTAGCTCATTCGTGAATTTTCCATGACCTGTTAAATACCGTCTGGAACTGTGATTTTAATACATGCTTGTCTTACATTTAGGTCAGACATAATTATGTCGTAGAATTAACAAGAGGTAACAGAATAAATAAATCATAATATATCACTGTAGACGGACAGCTATTACTTAAGGTTTATTCCTCTTTAACATTCATATTTCTCAATCTAAATTGGTAAAATAGACAGGTTGGACTGCCCAGTTGTAGTGTAAAAATACAAAACTTGAATGACTTACAGTAGTGATTCTGGTCAGATTGGAAGAGGTTCAGGTGATATAAAGGTCAATAATGACCGTCGCCAGTGACCAAAGGGTTAAAGCATTGCATGCTTTGAAGTACATAGTGGTTTGGTGCACTTCAGTTCTAACTCTAATTTGATAAAGTTCTTATTTAAACGTCCGAATCTCATAAGAGTTAATAACTTTTGTAAATGAAGTTTTCCTCAGTATCCGAGGTATACTCAATAACTTTGGTGAGCTCTATACTAAATCACAAAATTACTGTAAACATTATAAAAATGTGTCCAATTGCTTCTTAGTTTGTATGAAAAAAATCCTTATATTGCGGATACTTTGGGTTTTATGGACATTGTGAACTGCTTTCCGGACCTATTTCGGAGAATTTTGAGTATATTTCAGCAGTAGCTTTTATAATTACAGAACCGACTATTACTTAGCCGACTGACGGTAACTCAATTTACACATGCAACCATTTCAAAAATCAGCCGGCACCGTCTGATCATGGTTTGCACTGTTAGTCAATATACATATTTTGAAAATTTTCTTTGTCTAGTTTAAGAGTTAACATGCTTCATTTACAAGCATCGTGGCAAGAGAACATATATTAACTTTGTTGTCTTGAGCCTTTCAGGGAAAGAGATTTAAATCTTATAAACAAACATTTGGTGCTTCTCTTTCCAGCTTCAAACAGCCAAAACAAGAGGTATAGATGAAGATTCACTCGTTCTTTTGAATGTTTTCTTGGGCTTAGGATATCTTCTCGGCTGTTTCATATTTGGCTACATTGTGATTCGAAACAGTAACGAGTGTTCCATAAGCAGACGACATCTAACACAATCATGTGCACTTGCTAGTGGTGCAAGCACGCTGTTGTTCATCATGGCACGTGACTTCCACGCATTCGCGCTCTACGCGTGGTTATACGGGATCTCGTCTGGAGGTTATTACTACACTGTGAAAATGTACACTTACGGGATTGTGAAAGAGCGGATTATGGAAAGAGGGTGGGGGTTCGTCAATGCTGCTCAATTCTTGTCCTTCCTCCTTGGACCCCCGCTTGCCAGTAAGTATAGTGTAGATGTCTTATAAACTACTTATTAATGTCTTCCTGTCTTATAAGAGTATGATAGTGAAAGAAAACATTAGAATGAAATAAAATCGAATTTGGTGTCTAGCGTTCTTGCGACTTTCTAGTTACAGTGTGTCCATATTTTCCAATGGCCCTTTCAGAGGCCAAGAGAGCTCAAATAGGTATAAAACATTTAACATCTGATGGATCAATGAATGGATCATCACTATACTCCATGTTAAGCATTTCGAGATGGTTTCTGTAATACAATTACATTTTATAAATATGAAATTCTTTTTTTAAAAAAGGCCACCTTTCATTAACCTTAAGATAGATCTGAATGGCCATTCTATATAATTATTTGATAGACAGACAACTGATAGAGCCAATCTGACAGTTTAAAGGTTTTTTTATACAAAATTGAGTACTGTTAATTGAGTCCATGTAAATAAAGGGAGGTAATTAGAAATTTATTTTCTATAAATTTTAAGTCAAATTTTTCAATACGAAATGAATGTATTTATTTTAATGATTACATATAATGTGCGCAAATATTTGCAGTACATATTTTACATATTCTTCGATGTTTGAAAATTGTTTTATAGGCATAATTATATACATATACAAAATTTAACTTAAGTTTGGTATACAACCTCAATTTTTACATACAGGATTTTTAAATAAAGGTTGATTTATTTCTCTACACTTTGATGCATTTCATTATATTGTAAAACACTGAAAGTGGTTATTGAAGTTTATTTGATTTATGTCTATATAATACGTTGTAATCTTGTGTATTTTCAGTATATCTCAACGAGTCTTACAACAGTGATGTTGCATGTTACATATTCTCCGGTATCATTATGATCGTTGGTGGTCTAATGTTCTACTGTATGCCGCTCTTTGAACGACATCAATCTAATATGGATATTGTTCAGCGCTACCAGAGCGCATGCTCCAAAAACACAACGGAAGCGGCCGCTCTTCTCGACCTTGACCTTACAAATGCGATGGTGACGAAACCATTGAACAATGTGCAGTTTATTGTTTCACCATCGCGGATGAAACATAATCAAGGAAGTAAGGACGCCAGTAAGATTCAAATGCAGTGCTTTATACAACACAGAGATAAAGAAAAGCCAAAACAAATAGTGCTTTCAAGAATTACCGAAGAGAAAGAAGGCCTTCGGTTGGATTTTAACGAAATTTCATACGTGAGTAATTCAAACTCTAAGTCGTGTTCAGACAGTAGTGGGAGGAGAAAGAGTGTTTCAGACCGCGATTTTTCAATTCCTCTGTGTGAGAATCATTGCGCGGACATTCCTTCAGACAGCGTTGCTTCTCACCACACGGACAAATCGTGCAAAGGATCACACGCTTCTCGTGCAGAGGGAAAATTCCGTCGAAGTTCGGACAATGTGAAATTGGAATTCTTTGATCCTCCTAGTCAGGAAAAAGAATCCACAGCGACTGTTTCATATGACAGTGATCTGTACATAAATCTTTGTGAAGCTCAAGTTTAAATTTCTATGTTTCTCAAGAGTGAATCTCTGTATATTTTGAATGTTATATATGCTTTAAGTGGAGCCATATATGTATTTAAGAATTATGTTTATATATTTCATAAGATCATGTTTAATGAGGTACACGTTCACATGTTGGCTGAATTGTGTCATATTCAAATTGTAATCTAGCGTCATATGAGTACATAGATTGTCGTTTGGAGTTATATACAGATTGTCGTCTGGCGGGATGAAAAAAGTGAAATGGCACAAAATTGCCACCATACATTTAGTACTTTGTGCTGTTTTTTCAGCGACAGGAGCATAATTTATCAGATTTACTCCTGCTATACAAACATAATTATGATATACAAAATTGCTTCCTTTTTAAAAAAAAATGGTAGAATGTTAAAATGTTTTATTTCTTTATGTTTTGTTATAAAAATATTTGTGAATTTTTATTTGTTGTAGGACAAAATTGATTGAAATCATATCTATCTTGATATTTTCAATCTAAAATGATAGGATTTCGCATTGTTTTGTTGCTGTACATGTTTATTTATCTAAGTAATATTAACAGATTGACGAAGTTCATCAACTTCTTTGGTACTATCTTGAAACTTAGAAGTTGGATATTTTTATGAACATGAATTTCACATCAAGGATTCGATGATAAAACGCCAATGACTGTCTTCAGTATAAGACGTTTGGCTGATAAACTTAGGTACATGTATTTTATATATTATAAATGGATGTCATAAAAATAGAATATTTCTTCAAGTGAAGTTATCCCTTTTCAAAGTCTTGATAGTTAAGTTCATAAAATTGACACTTACTAACTTAATATCATATCAAAGTTAAATAGAGCTTAATTTCAGTTTCTAGGTTCTTCTTAAAACATCTCATTGAAAGCTTATTTTTATCATCATACTGAGAAATCGGACAGTTGCATGATTTCTTCCAAAGTTTTATTTAAAACTTATTAGGATGTAAAGAAATATATACCTGTACAGATTCTATGAAGGGAATGTGGCGCACAGTAACAAAGGGAAGATACTCATAGTAAATTTCACAGAAATAGTTTCCGATTTACCTCCCATTCAAATGGTCAAATGGTGTTATTTACAAAAAAGAATATTGAGCCTATGATATTCTTAACCATTATTCTTAATGGATTTTTTTTCATTTATAGTAGATGTGTAAATTTATTTCATGTTTGATGAGACTCTGGTGGAATATTATCGAAGAAAACATGTTTATTTTTATATTGTTATAGATGTATATTATATTACATATAATATGCATTTCGTTATGCGTTATCTTTTATTTATCGCATGGCTGTGAGCTTTTCCTTTGTTCTTTCCAACCCATTATACTCAGTACACTTCAATGAGCATTTCAAAACTGTATTGATATATAACAGTACAGTTTTTTCATTGATTCATATAGGAAAAAAAACTGTACTGTTATATATCGGTCTAGTTTTTTACGCACCTTGTATATATCAATACAGTTTTTTCATAGAGGCTCCAAATGGGGCAGTGGTAACGACCATTCCCAGTAGTAAAAAAAAACCCATAAGATAATAAAAAATGAAATCAATAAAATATAATATAATAAATATATAAATACAATGAAAAATATAAACAAAGATAATTAATGAAATGAAAAAAGCCCTTTAATTTCAAATCAATCTTGTTAACAGTATACAATCCGCCTCTTATATTTGATGTCTTTTGAATATTTTTTTGCGGCAGCTGCCTTATGATAAATAACTGTAATGTAGATAACGATTAATTTATTTATTTGTTTCTACACAAAAAAGAAAACATTATGCCATTGCGATAAAACAGTTATAGTATACGAAACTCGTTAGTTACGGGGGTATAACACTGGCTGGGGCGACATCTCGGGATGTTTCTGCAAAAAAATGTCTCGGCCTAACGGCCTCGCCATTTTTTAGCAGAAACACCCCTTGATGTCGCCCCAGCCAGTGTTATACCCTCGTAACTAGCTCGTTTCATATACTATAACTATTACGTAAAAGAAAGCTCCATTGTTTTGTTTGAAAGTCTGGGCGACTTCACGTGTCTGGAATTGTATGTGCCGGTATGGGGAAAGGGAGGGGGGGCAGTCTTGTAGAAGGAAACGCTTTGTGGGTATAAAAAATATTTGATAAAGAACAAAAACATAGTTTTGTTGCAAACCTTTGTTTCTAACATAATTCACACATGCTACAAGATTAAAATGTGACATATAGATATTGGCCTAAAAAGTGAAAACACTACTGTAAGATTTATACAATGTATTTGTTTGTTTTTTAGAATGATATGGAATATTTTTATTTTTGGCCTAAATTGTCACGTGATATCTAAGAGGTCGCTTGGTAAAAGGACAGGTTCAGGTTATTTGAATATTCAATAACTTTCTACACAATTTGGTTTTAACCAAGCTAAACCTGGAATAGCTTTCTTTATTGCTTACAATATATGAAATACCTCCACTAAACACTACTTTTGAAAGATGACTGTTGATTGCATCATCATCATCATCATCATAATCATCATCATCATCATCATCATCATCATCATCATCATGATTATCATCATCATAATCATAATCATCATCATGATTCTCATCACCATATACTTAATTATATTCAAATAATCCTACATAGCTACTGACTGTAATAAAACTAGGTCATCAGAGTAGTGTCAGGATAGCCTGCAAACTATGTTGTTTTGACTGACTACCATGTTACCTATTCGAAATAATCTGCTTTCACTCTTACAGTGAAACCCTGAAAATTGTCAGTTTAGTGGTTCAAGTTCAAACCAGGTCAAATCCGTTTACTTTAATTAAGCGTGGTAAAGGATTAAAATGTTTTAGGAAAAGTGCTTAAATGTTTATAGATGTAAATATTTGATCACCTTTCGGGTATTTTTAAAGTGTGAAAATTATATATTGACTGGTATAACATATATGAAAAGCTTGAAACCCGCTTAAAAGTCTTTATAATACAAACTCTATATATAGCCAATAGCTTTCTGCTTCTTATTTTCATTTTGTACGGAAGTGATTCTAGAAACTGGTAAGCGGGCTTGTATGACATCATTGATAAAATTACTGAAGTGGTCTTATTGTCGAAATATTTTCCTATTTAATTCTTATTGCTCACACTTTTCACACATAAAATCTTACTTCCTATTTATTTTAAAATATTTTGTTGTAGTGTTAATAGTTTTTTGGAGATAATGCTCTTCCACTGTGATCACATATAGTGGATTGAAGTATCTTTCATGAGTACAAAGATTAAGAAGGAAAAATTTTAGTGGTGTTTAACCTCTAAAGACATTTGAGCCGCGTCACGACAAAACCCACACAGTGCGTTTGCGACCAGCTTGGATCCAAACATCCTGCCCTGCGCACCCGCGCAGTCTGATCAGCGATCCATGTTGTTCGCTATCAGTTTCTCTACTTGTTATAGGGTTTGTAAGCGAACAGCATGGATCCTGATCAGACTGCGCGGATGCGCAGGCTGGTCTGGATCCATGCTGGTCACACACGCGCTTTGTTGGTTTTGTCGTGACGCGGCTTATCTATGTAAATATATACATGTATATAATGTTGTATAGTTCACGTGCTGTGATTGTTATTCATTGCTGCAGTGCTTCATGTATCTTGTGTAAATAATGAGAGATTCCTAATAAAATTGTGATTTTATTTTAGAAACATTTTTATCATTTAGCTGAATGTTTAAATTTGTAGTAGTGCTGTATGTTCAAAAACTGTCGATCATCGATTTAGATTGGGTTTATACAGGGTATGTTCTTTCTAACTAATGGATTTAATTAAGAAAAATATATTAAAGCATTTGATTTTTTTTACAAAATGTTAAGTATTATGAAATACTTTAATTAATGCTGATTTTCAAAGTTGAAAATTTCTCAGCCTTTCTTCATCGTTTTGTAGTACCTATATACAGTAGATAAGATATTCATTTACATACTACAGATATTTTTCCTCCATCAAAGATTTGGTGGCAGTTCTTTTCACATACCAAACATGATTAATTTTATATCTTTACATCTAATATATCATAAATGCACGAGATCTATTTTGTACACAGACAGACGGGCGGATATGTTTTGCATACAGCATTGCTACAAATGTCAAGTGAAGTTAGACTATATACTTGCTCCAGTTATATTTTGCTATTAAAATAATTCTGACAGTGCTGAATGAAATAAATATTCTTTATATATAAACATGAAATAAATTCTGTCAGAAATCTTCAAATAAAAGTGTAATTAATACTGGTGGTTTTTCTTTGTTGTTGTTGTTTCTACTATAAGCGATGGTCCTGGCGGAAGTTCATAGTTATAGCATAGCTATTGCCACATTCTGCCGTGAACCAAATGGTGAATACCACTGGATGAGTTCAAAAAGAACAAATTTATTTAATGAAGACTCCTTCATTCCTATTTTGCCACATAAACGGTATAATTTATCTACACCTATATGCCTATAGAAATAATGCAAGTTTGGGCTTTTATCAGAAGTATAAATATCCAAAAGTCTAAGTCTCCGATGTTTAAGTCGTGTTTAAAATTGAATGACGCATAAAAAATGACATCAAAACAAAATCCCAAACAGTCTAATTTTCCTGTAAGAGATAGAGGATATTCAAGTGTTGTTTTTTCCCCTATAAATACAAGATTTATTCTCATCGACTGTATGAAAATAAATATTTCATGAGTGGCGGTAGTCACGAGTGAAATATGATACTTTTCTTACCATAAGATGAAAATAAATCCTTTATTTATAGAAAAAAAACTTGAATTTTCTGTTTATGATATACATTTTTTTTCCTTTTCTTAACATTACAATTTGAAATATTTCCCTTAAATATTGTGTATTGGCTGAAGAAAGTAGTCCAGTAAGACATCGGTGAAAATAAGGAAAATATGTTCCACTGCAGTGAAAAATACTCATTTTATTTAATGATTTTTTCTCAATAAATTATTTCATTTATAAGTATATAATAAAACGGTATATTTGTCCGCCAAGAACGATTTTCGCACGACAACAGGTCAAATGGGAAGCTTCAATTAATGGTGGCCTTTCATTTATTCAAAGGTGGACATTGCAATAGGTTAAACTGCGCGTATGTTACGGTCTGAAGTAGGAAAATTAATTAATAATCAATTAGTTTCGTGTACTTGGAGATGGAACAGGCCTGTATATATATATCCGGATTCATTTTTAATCTACCATCACAATTTTCCCATCAGGTGTGTTATTCTTTTTATGTTTTTTCCTCATACACAAGCAGCAGGTTTCATCATCATCATCATCATCATCATCATCAACAACAACAAAAACATTCTGTTTTGTAAAAGTGCAAACGATAACAGAAACTTCGCTTTAATTTAATAGTAAGAACAAAATGCCAGATGTTTCGCTTAGTGAACAAAGGTTTAAATAGGAAGTATGTCCCTTTTATCTCAATCCACAAAATTATATCATTCTAAAATAATTGGTAAAAAGATAATAAAGTTCAGTTAATGTTCAAGTGGATTTAGTTACCACATCTCTTTATATATACGGAAAGTACATTTATTATTACAGTACTTCTATAAAATGATGTTTGAAATGCTTTGGTAACACAATTATATCTTCAATGATAAGAGTGAATGATTCATCGATTGTCAATACTTTAACTTGTCACTGCAGATATCGATAACTCTAAACCAACTGTTACAGCGGTAATTAGTCACAGCAGATGAGGTAAGCTCTAAAAGTGCACAATTCATATAGGTGGTTTAACTTTTTTATTCACAGAATCGATTTTTTCACACATTCAAAAGTCATGATTTGAACAAGACATGTGACACACGTGTCGTCATAACAAAATGACAAATCATTGAAATCTTATTTGACAAAACCAACATAATGGGTTTGCGACCAGCATGGATCCAGACCAGCCTGCGCATCCGCGCAGTCTGATCAGGATCCATGCTTTTCGCCATCAGTTTCTCTACTTGTAATAGGGTTTGTAAGCAAACAGCATGGATCCTGATCAGACTGCGCGGATGCGCAGGCTGGTCTGGATCCATACTGGTCGCAAACCCATTATGTTGGTTTTGTCGTGACGCGGCTCAGATCATTGAAATCTTATGTGACAAGCTTATATATTTTTACCTAGTTTGTAATCATCATTCTATATTTCTTCACCAAAATGACAGCAACAACAACAAATCAGTTTATAAACTTTATTACATTATATGTGATAACAAAATATTAAAACAATAAATATAATAAATTATCACAATAGAAAAAAACATTATGCAAGATGTCTATATCACGATTACTTTGATTAAGAATATTCAAGTATTTGTGCACAATATTTTAAAATGTGTGTATGGAATTTAAAAAAAACTGTTTCCCAAAAGTTTATTTAACAAAACGTCGTGATATTGAAGTACAGATAGATCAAGCTATTGGTATCTTAAACATATTAACAAAGGTGTATCAATTGTACATTTCCACTTATCATATTCATGTCATCCTTCAAAAATGTGTTCAATTTAAAGCTTAGAAAAACAAGCGAGATCTTAAAACAACATAATATAACGTTTAATATTCATTGAAGACAAATATCACATAAAACCATTGCTCCCATTTGTGGTTAATTACAAATACCTCTCCTACTCATTCATACTATTTTACAATACTGAGATCATTAGTGGACGATATATGTATATCAAAATATCTACAACCATATGTGTACTATCACAAAAACCGACCTAAAACTTTCATTTACTACTTAATATGAGCTTTTCTTAAAAAGTCGAAAATTACAAAAAAAGCTTAACGTAGTTAGAAATTTTACTATAGATATGTATTTTTTATACAACAAAGTATGCATTCTTGCATAAAATAAACCATTTCAATGTAAAAAGGTTTGAGCTAAACGCAAATCACTGACAAAATTACAGACACAGTCCAATTAATAGTCTCTGTTCTTTAATATAACAAGTTCTGAGCAAAAGAATACATATGAAGATTTAATGTGCTTCAACACACAATATGAATGCTCCACTTCGGGAATTTTGAATGTAAGTAAGATATGTTGCACCAATACTGTACAAAGGACCGCTTGCGACAGTGAGCAACAGGTTTGCCCATTTCCATCTGACATATTTCATAAAAGTCTGGGTCTTTAGCCTTACAATATGCCGAACGTTTCGCGTTTATGTCATTTCAGTACGACAGTACAGTGACGGCCATTGTGTACATAAATTGTTTTTGCAACTTCACATCCGCTGTGTAATCTCTATCCACTGTGAGTGTCGATCAATGTACATACCGATCCATTGCGTATGTCGATTCCATGCGTATGTCAATCTATTGCGTATGTCGATTAACTGCGTATGTCGATCAACTGCATATGTCGCATGCATTGCAATACATTGTCCAGTATAGATATTATTTAGCATCAGTCCACTTCACATTCGGTATCTGTCTCCTCGTGTAAAGATTCCTACAAGACAAAACAAATAATTATACCAACTTCTACTAATTCTATCATATCACTAACAGGTGTCTCATCTTTGACACATTATTTTTTAAAGCAAGTAAAACATATGTGAATGAAGTCCTAGAGTCAAAAACCTAATAAACATGGTCTGAAGTAACAATAAATTAGAGAGGAGAAAATGAAATATCTTTAACTTCGTAATATAAGGATTATTCCTCTTTGAGAAGTGTAACAATTTGGTGTATCACTCACCCATCCATTTGGTTGTCGCTGTATCCAGGGTTTTAAAGTAGAAGAGAAGTAACGTGTGGCATGAGTCTTCATAATTCTGCCCGCTGTCTTGCCAGCACCGGCGATATCCATTGTTGCTTTCATTAGGTAAGTGTACCAGGCTACCTGTAAGTTTATATAAATAATATATTATCAAAGGTTTCTCATTCAAATAGGAATTGAATACCTATGTATTCAATAGATAGTTTAAAATACCTTTACAATATAATCATTTGAAATAGAAAAGGTTATAATCATTTGAAATAGAAAAGGTGTGTATCACTGTTGTCCGACATGATATGTTAACATTGGAGACAGACGAGATACGAGACAGCCGAGATATGAGACAAACGAGTTATGAGGAAAGGGAAATGATGACAGTGGACCACCTTTTGGCAAAGAGGAAAGTGAAATAAAATGAACTCGAAGGTATTAGAATGAATGATATAAAGTCACTAAGAATAACAGTCTGATGTTAATTACTAACCTGTTCCCAGCCTACAGTATTTGAGATCTCACGTTGAACAACTTCTCTAAACGTGCTGTAATCTTGGGACCGGATGATTTTACAGATGATAGGCAGTACTACTGATGAAAACTGAACTCTGTTTTGACTCTGCAAATTAATACAATATTATAAAGCTATTATCAAAATATTCTCTATTTGATAGGTATAATAAAATAAAAGGCAAATGTCATGTATTTGTATTTATAATACTCTGACCGTGACAAAAACGAAAGAGTGAGGTAATCATTACAAAAAGAAACTACATTTTGAGCATATGAACTAGGTAATCAAGAAAACGTCTTACTCGAGCCATTAAAGTGCCATCAATTTGGTCACCAAAACGCCTGAGCTCCCTTAATAGCTCTTCTTCCAGTTCTGTAATGATAAAGGTCACGTGTATGTGATAATAATTTCATTGGTTTAGTAAGATTATTTTATTCATTATTAGAGATAAATGTAATAGAAATTTGCCATTTAGAAAATTGTTAATATTAAAACATATGTGTTGGAAAACATAAGAAACTATAAAAAAAACATTTATAAGTGCATCTAATACATAATAACTGTTCATATGACAGTTTTTGGTGACGAATGATAATCATTTACAATTACCTGAACGTCTTCTAGGTTGATTACCAACTCTGAAGCCTTCAACTTCCTCTGATGAACCGGCACTCTCGGACTCGATCCTGCCGGCGATACTATCACCAATGGCAGCAAGTCGCTTAGCAACATCATCCACGCGACGTTGCTGCTCGTGCTCGGAGATCTCAGCAAACTCTACCTCACTCTCTTCAACACATCGGACACAAGGTGGCGCATCTGAAATACATTAGTTCTGTTTAGTCTAATATAGTTTTAATTCTTTACATAAGCTTCTATAAATACAGTACATATCTTTAGTTATATACATGTAGTACATACAGTGTACACTAATCTTAATATAATTATGTATCTTTATACTGTAATGTGTAACATACTAAGAATTTTTATTGAATAAAGATGAAGAACAAAAATATTCAAGTTAACCTACCGGCGTAATCAAGTCCGTCGATTTCTACAGTTGGAGACAAATCACTTCCGTGTGCGCCACGTGCATGATGACCATCTGTGGAAGGTGAATTTCTGTCAAAACTTCTTGGTTTAAACTTTTTCAAACCTTCCAATCTAAACTTGGACGTGTCCGGTCTAGGTCCCTTCTGGAAATTTGACGTGGCATTATCAGAAGTGCGACCCTCGGGGTCAATCAAACTTCCAAAAAGTTCGGTAATAGAGTCATCAGCTTCCATGAAATCTTCTTCAATCGTTTGCACATGCGTAGCCGTTGGCACGGTTTGATCTCTTTCTAAAGAACTAGGTAAACTAGGGCTACTATGTGGTTCACCGCTACTTTCTTTTTCCTGGTTCTTCTTGTATTCTTGAAATATACAGACAAATATGTTACTATAAAATGGGATAAATAACCATACTCTTTTTTTCTATTTTATATGGATAAGCTGTTATGATTATATAAAGACCTTCCTGTTTAACATGACCTAATTTCATGAATTGTTTCAAAACTATAACAAAAAAAAACAACATATATACATGTTATTAATTCAAATCTTAAATCAATCAAATATTTTCAAATACCATTTGGCTTTTTTTCTGACTGCATTAGATTTATTACAAACATCAGTCTTATTTATCTCTACTTATTTGCATGTCTTTACTACGTATTAAGATAGTTTATCTTATCTCATATCAAAATAAACATGTCGGGTAATCTAATATACTTTCAATATTTGATCCGGATTATTAAAATATGACTCATAAGTATAAGTGTATATTTTATATCTACAGGTGGATGTATGTACCCAGGGGTTACGCATCAATGACGTCGACACCTATTTGATCAATGGATGACAAGTTTTAATTCAACTTCCTAGATAATGTGATTCACGGAAATAAAAAATCACAGACCAAGAAACATATTGACGTAATAACGCCTTGTATTGCAAATAATTCTTACTGAAATATTTGTATTAGATTAAATGATAAATTTGCACAGTTGCGTCACAAGAAATCAATAGTTGAAATCATATAATATTGTTATTTTAATAGGCATAATGTAAATTATAAATGTCGTATAATATTTTCAATATTTATTAGCTATGATACAAAGGTCTAGGTTTTGTATTCCATACCAATACAATAAATACAATAAATAAAGAAACAAAGAAATAATGAAGTATAGAAATAATGAATAAATACATGTAATAATAATAGCTCAAATTTGGAATTAACGCGCATTTAGCCCTATCACTAAAACAGATAACGCTTCTATGGTATTACACCCTTATTTCTCACAAATTTGGTTTTCAGCCATTGTTAAGGTCATATGATGACGTTCCAGCTAAGTTTACTTGTCAGGTGCCCCTTAGAGCATTACTTCAGGCACGATCGAGCATTACTTCAAGCACGTACACACCACCCAAGTAAACCACCAACGTATTGTAAGCTCTATCTTAGATTGATAATAATATTTGTTTGGATCAAATAAAGCCACAACTCCTAACATAAGTTTGGATAAAATAAAACCACTTTTCTTTGTATAAAAATATAACTCCTACATATATTTTACAAACTAGGACTCATTTTATCAACCTATTTTCCCTTCTGTTCCAACATGGTATGACATAATAGACTATCATAACGTCATACAATTATATCAATAGAAATATTATATAATAAATTTGTAATTGTTACTGTTGGTATCCCAGTCATGTTTACTTTGTAACTTGATATACATTATCATATCTTCTGAATAGATCTCAATATATCTTTCTAAAATTTACACATAAAGGCTTTAACGTAAGCTATTATGTAAACGAACAATTAAATCGTGCACGTACTTATATACAGGTAATACCCAGGAAAGATTACAAAAAACAAGGTTTGAATAAAACTAAAATGCACTTACTTGAAGGCGCCGCTTTTATCCTAAAACTGTTCCTCAGAGTTTTTAAGAAGCCAGGTCCTTTGTTAGGTTTTGAAAAACCACTATTAGTAACACCAGACTTGTGGTCGTCATTATTATTGTCTTCTATAACTTCTATATCAACATTAGGAGTTTTAAATGCGTCACGACTAGAAGATTGATTTGGTTTAACACGACCAGTTGGTCCCTTATATTTGCTACCATTCCCTTTATGTTTTTCATGATCCCTATTCTTTCTGAAAGTAAGGATGAGCCTTTCTTTCATTCTTTTAAAAGTACTTTTCTTTTTACGATCAGGTTGTATTGACCTCTGGTCTTCGTCTGTATCAGGAGAAGGGTAAGTGCCGGATTTCTGTGAAGCTGTTCTTTCAAAATCGCTCCGCGGTGCTTTTGCCTCCCGCTTACGGCGCCCAAGTTCGACAGGTTTCTTTTGAGGAACAACTGTTTCTGTCCTCGGAAGAGTGTTATACTTTGTCCGATCCACTGTCCGAACACCTTGTGGACCTCTTGTTGTGTTAGCACTAGATCCTAATGCACTTAATCCGTCCAGGTCATCGGTTGATTGACGGTTGGTGGCGATCTTATAGGAAGACGTTCGTTTGACTTTGTTTAGTTTCGGCGAGCGTTTCTTACCAGCCACCATATTAGGATTTGTATTCACGTAGTCCTTCTCTTCAAACTTCTTTGGCGTTGTACTAGAGCCATTCGCTAGCAACGAGACCCGCGTGCCATTTGACAGAAGTGAGTCCCTCTTTGTCATGGGTATCGTTGGATTTCTTTGTATGTTCGTCATTATTGAGTCACGTGACCTCGCTGGAATGAGAAAACAAAATTTTACAACTTCTCTCGAAGACTACTAATATGTTTACAATGTATACACGAGATCACCCTTGAAACATACTATAGTGTATGGAAAACACTGATATTATATATATTTGTTTCCATTTGTATACTCATTCATTAATCAATATATTTAACCTGAGAATTAGATTCCTTAATTAATTAAACGTAAAATCCTGTATACAGTATGTCCATAATAACGAAAGGATTAAATCAATAGTGTTTTAAAAAACATGCATGATTCACGTACAGATAACATTCCGGGACAATGTGTAATTAATTAGGACAAGAAGCATTGCTATCTTACAAGTCAATCTTAAGTTTAAACAATGCGTTCATGTTTAACAGATAATGGAGAAAAAAGATAAAAAAATTAACTTTTCAAAAGTCCATAACCTTCTATATGTTTTACTTTAAAATAACATCAGTAAAGTAAACACGAACACTAGATTCACAAGTGACATACAAAATAAATTCTGAATATTTAAACATACAGTTAAAGATTTGTTTGATTTCTTAAGTCCATTTTATTACAATAAAACACTAAAAACAGTTATATTTTAAAACATTGGTCTGTTATTTAATACTTCAACTAGGTGTATTAAATTTAAGCTAGTTTAAAGAGTTCAATGTTGATTAAACTAAACATGACGCCAACTTATTCCATGTACAATAAATATTCGAGATCTATGTAACCCATCCACATATTTCATTTATCTAATGAGGAAAGAGAAATCAGATTAAGCACCCGGTAAAAAAAGATAAAAAAAAGTTAAAATGTACATATCAGATAATCAACCGAACTATATCAGTAATTAAGCGGAAACACCAACCATTTCTCAAACTATGGAAGAATATGAAAGTAAAGTCTTCTTTAAAACATCATAAAATAATACCTTCTGTTTTCCCGTGACCCATTTAGCCGTCTGTCTGTATTAACTTTATTTGTAAATAAATGGTCAAAATAAATAATCAACTAATTCAAAACTTAATAAGGTTCTTAACCCTCTATTTTCAAAAGAGGTCCTATTTGTACAACAAATGAAATGAAAATATTAGATCAATATCAGGCGTATGAATGTTAATGACCAAACTTCATAAAGAGTTTTATAGTCTCATAATATATAATGTATTTTTAGAACAACAAATTTCCCCAACGTTGACTATAAAGGAATTCTAAAATAATTCACGTGACTTGTGTCAAATTGGTTAAGCAGATGTCAACGTCCGTGTTTACTTTAATACAAAATCAATCCGGGTATACTGTAGCTCAGTGTGATAACTGTATGTCAAAACATGTTTGTCTTGATTCTGGGCCAATTCAACCATTGTAAGAAATATCATGAAAAGTGACGTACACCGTAAAACGGGTAATTTCCGATTTCTTGATAACCAGCCACAACACAATTTAATTATAATTATGATGATGGGTAGTTTACTTTATCAATGGTTTATGATGTAAGATAGATATATAAAGATATGACATTGTGTAAAACCGTTGGGTGGATCTACTTTCTCTTTGGGTCCAACTCTTTGTTGTATGCCTGTCGTGACGTTATTTGAAATAACCTGGTTAAAATTGGAAGATGAGGCGGGGGTGAGATGAGATGGGTATCGTTCCACCCGATAGATTAACATTCACCAATGATAAACAATGTGTCATCTTTCTTTTATTTTTTCAAAATGGTGTCATTTACAACACCTGAAATTTTAGCATAATTAATTTGACAGATCAGACTTGAACTACGAGTTATATACAAAATCTTACCTCATGTTATACAAACTCAAATTATCAATTAAACGTATTCCAGAATAGTATCTTGCACTCTGTTCACTTAAACAACGGGAAAACCCGAATTAACTTGTCACTATGTTTGTGACACAGAAAAGACATAACATTTTTTCTAAAAATAGAACTATACAGGTGTGTTGTCACATCCGGTGTAATACCTGTTAAATGATTCGTCATTGTCGCGTGTCGATACAAAAATAAACTACACATAAAAAGAAATTTCAAAAATAGGTATATCGTATTTAGTAAGAGCAGATTAAACAAATATTAAGGCGGCAAATTATTATATAATGCTTACGTAGTTATATTCTAACTTTGGGATATACAGTTAAAAGAATGAATGAGTTTACTATAAAAAAATAAATAATGATTATGTACACATTCATATATAGACCATTACATACATTACATACAGATCAATTATAGAAAACCATGTATAAGTTGTACAATAAATATTATTTACAACATTATAAAAGCATTCAAATAATTTCATTGACAAATACAAATATTTAATGATCAACAATATTTTTTGTCCAATCACATTGCAGTATTTTTCAAATTTCTGCTTAGTCTAACTTTGGTTAATGTGTATTAACTAAATAAAATTCACTTAATCTGTCGTCTAACCGCAGTCTAACAAATTTCAATAATGCATTATACTAGGGAGGAGTTAGAGGTATGGTTTACACTCTGATTTGTAAAATGTCAAGGTTAGCAAAACAATGCCAACATAAAAAAATAGGCGAGGTCAGGTGTTTCTAAATGTGAGGATACAATCAATTGATTTATTACATAGATAATACATGTTGGGCACGCAGAGACAAATGATTACTAGTACATAGTAACTTTTTATATCCTTTTAACTCTAAGAAAAATGTCTGTTATAAATTGCTTCAAGTGTTGTAAACTTTATATTTTCCAAAACATTATTTTTTTTCACTTGATAGGAATGAACTGCATTAACAATCATTGATATTAAGAATACAATGATTACATTTTTTGGCTGGAAAACTCATTGTAAATGGACCCCCTCCACCTGTAAAAACAGAAAAATAAAAAAAAATGAACTGTTTTTCAAATGAGCAAATCAATAGGGATTTTAAATGTTAGTGAATAACTTGAATCTATATAACGAACTTGTATCAATTAATAATCTTTAATGTATTTTCTCACATTTTCCATTTATTTTGAAAGGATATACACATTTCATTAACTCCATTGTTAGGGTTTAAATGGATCGCTTCTCCAATGGTTCTCCTCTTATTTGTCTTGCAGGCGACAAAGAGTACAGTACAGAAATGTATCCTCAGCATGGGTTTCTATCTCCGCAGGTGTCCCTCAAGGTTCAATTCTTGGCCCCCTTTTGTTTCTTGTTTACATCAATGACATCGTAAATGACATATCTTCTAACATAAAACTTTTTGCGGATGACACGAGTTTGTATATAGTCGTAGATAATCCACTTACTGCAGCAACCAGTCTTAACTCAGACTTAGATCGGATACATTCTTGGGCCAATACTTGGCTTGTTTCTTTTAATCCAGAAAAAACAAAAACAATTACTTTTTCAAGGAAATTATCTAAACCGTCTCATCCTTCACTTAGTTATAACTCTATTCCAATATCTCAGGTCACATCACATAAACATCTTGGTGTTACTTTATCTCATGATGCCCGTTGGAAAACCCATATTCATCTATTACTTGATAAGGCCTGGAAAAGAATCGGACTACTCAGAAGTTTTAAATTTCTTTTATCACGAATAAGTTTAGAACGCATGTATTATTCATTCGTCCGCCCACTTCTTGAATATGCTGATGTAGTCTGGGATAACTTAACTGACGAACTAAATAAGGAAATAGAATCCGTTCAAAATGAAGCAGCAAGAATAGTCGCAGGCGCTACCAAACTATGTAATATTAACAAGCTTATCAGTGAACTTGGGTGGGAATCATTAGAAAATAGAAGAAATAAACATAAATTAATCTTATTGTATAAAATGAAAAACCATATATCACCTTCTTATCTTTCAAATCTTCTAACTCCCACCCAACAAAGTACATATAACCTTAGACATATTGACGATTTAACTCCAGTTCCAACCAGAACACTTTTATACTCAAAATCTTTTCTACCTTCTACTATTCGCACCTGGAATTCTCTTCCTGAAACTCTACGATCTAGTCCAACTTTAAACATATTTAAGTCCAAAATAACCCCGAACATCAAAAGACCACCGTCTTACTATAATACAGGCACACGTAAAGATCAAATCCTTCACACAAGATTAAGATTAGGATGTAGTTCATTGAATGAGGATCTGTTCAGAAGGTCTATTGTGGAAAGTCCAACATGCACATGTGGAATGAGAGAAACTGTATCTCACTTCTTATTGCAATGTACCAAATACAGAAATATACGCGAAAGATTTCTCACTAATTTAAATTGTCCGGCTACAGTAAATAATCTTCTTTACGGCAACGAACATCTCTCTTCTGATGAAAACAAAACCCTCTTTCAGAATGTCCAAAAATTTATTACACAATCGAAGCGCTTTTTGTAAGAATTACTATCAGTGTGAATAAACTTGGTCTTTCCGTACGCTCATATTTCCTTACATGTTAATCTTAATTATTTAACTCCGATATATATATTCAATCATACCTTTCCTTACATTCTTCCTTTCTTTTAGCATTTCACCATAATTTACTTTAGATTTTCTATAGTGATAATTTAACAATATATTATTCTCTTATTCTTTGTTGTACATTCAAAGAGCTTACATCTAACCGCAACATTTTTGTATCTTTATCTTGAAAATTACTTTTACTGGAGAGGAATTGATATAAGTATTGTTTTACTTGTTTTCCAATCCAGTCTGAATTACATTGTTGTGCAATGTTTGTAAATGTCATTTATGTACAATTTATTGAATAAATAAAGTTTAAACTAACTCCATTGTTTTTACCTAATTGCATCGTTTTCCTCGCTGTTTTTTCCAGATATATTATAAACATGATAGTCTTACAATAGATAAAGGTATAAATTCTGTGACATTTCAATAAAAAATGTGCCTGGGCCATTTATTTAGCTTATCTAAATGTGACATGTTAGCAACTTGACAAGGTGTAGTCATGTTGTAGAGCGAAAGGGCGGAGCTATAGGTGATTTAGAGAAATGCCTTGTTGTTGGTTGAAAAAAATAATGTTGATCATTAAATAGGTTAATGTTTAATAATATGCATTAACAAAAATAATTGGTCGCCTGCCTGCGGCAGGCTTGACCAATTATTTTTGTTAATGCATATTATTAAACACTAACCTATACATAATTTTTTGAAAAATAAGGAAAATTTAAATGGCCTATATTGAGAAATTAATTAAACTCGGTTAATAAAAAAATAAAAAGAGATCACTCTTATTAATTAATTTGCGAACCCAAATGAACGTCATAATTATTTATGAATCGTGTTCAAGTGTCTATGCATTTTAGATATAAAGCCCACGAAATGTGTGCTTTATTAAATATACTTTAAACAATTAACAATTAAATGTTGGATCAGATTACTAAAATACATTATTCTATTGAACAAAATGAATTCCATTACATGTATTTACAAAAAAAAATGTATGAATTCGGATTGTTCTAAGCTACATTTGTGTTTCAAATTATTTATGTCCAATAGAATTGCAGTATTTCGAATGAATAATAACACATTTACTATGGATTAAATCAGTCTAGTAAATCGACAGTTTCATAAAAATAATTTCAAACACTAAATTGGGTAAGGTTTATTAGTAAGCATTTACTACATTAATTGGTCGGACGGTAGCCGTTCTTGGCCAATTTCATTTTGGAAATGCTTACTAATGAACACTAACCTATACGTAAATTTGTGTTCATGACTATACAACATCGTAAAATATACGTACGCGTTTCTAAATAACTTCACAAATTATCTATACTACGTTTAAAAAAAAATACATTTAATAATGAGATTAAAATAAAAATAGTATTGAATTAAATTGAAATAATAAAAATAGTGTGATAAAATTGCACTTACTGAATATTGAAAATTAATACTATAGATATATAATTCTAGAATTATTTTCAAACAAAATAAACATGCAATTATTCGAATAAAATAAACATGCATATTAATGTGTCTGCATATGTACATATAGCGCAGCAATGTGTTGTTTTTTGTTGTTGCTGTTTTTAAATAGGTACAGACATATAAGTAATACAGATTCCCAGAATTTCGACCCAAAAATCACTGTGCCCTTGATGACTGTGGCTATGACGCAAGTAGTATGTTTACATAGCGAATTCAAATATGTGGGTGAATTATATGTATTAAATATGTCATTACTTTTGTAGCTATTTTTGTATTCATTTTAAGTTGTTTTATC